GCTGGGCCCCACACGTCCATGTGGAGGGTCTGCAGAGGAGCTGTCGTCGGGGGAAACAAGGAGGAGTGAGGAGCGGCGCGCTGCTGCCCCTCGACGCAAGGAATGCAGGGCGGGGCAGGCGAGGGTGGGAGGGAAGGCAGAGACCTGGGAAGACCAGAGACCAAGGCGGGGCAGGGAGGGGTGACCAAGGCGGTGGTGCCAAAGGAGAGTCTGGTGCGACAAGCGGCGACACTCACAGAGGGCTGCTACTGGATCTGAGCGGCGACACTCACAGGGGGCTGCTACTGGATCTGACGGGGATACGTGAGCGGACGCAGCGACCTGAGGAGGCTCAGTAGTCAGTGTGTACAGACTCGACCCCGGCCGACGAGTGAACGTGGCCAGGTGACGGCCAGTCCGAGAGCACGTACAGATCGCCACACGCTGCCATCCAGGTGTAAAGGTATCAACCCCTGCATCCTGGAGGACTGCGTTGCTCACCAAGTTCGTCGAGAACGAGGGGAGGTGGAGACCTGACAGGGAATCAGACGGAACGGGTTGAATCGTCTTTCATTACGATGAAAGATATACAAAAACAAGGACTTCATTACAATCTAGTATTGGACATTAACATTTGATTTTACTCGGCGATTTTGGACTTTCTGCAATGTTTCTAGGAAAGGGGAAACCTAACTTCAGGGTTTCTGACTAGGTGCCATGCTTTTTGTGCCTGCTGGGTGACTGTCAAATTTCGAAAGCGAGGGACTTAGACAGAAGCAAGATCTGCAAGTGACGGGGTGAGAGGGGATGGGGAAGGGAGGGGGGGAGGGGCGCGGGGAAGGAATTGGTTTGGTTTCTATAGGCTCGCTTCGGGTGCGGGGGGAGATGGCCGCTTTGCTTTGGGGTGGGGCTCGATTTGGGGACAGATTCGTGCGTGGTGTGGGATTCGATTTTGACATGCCTAAGCTGCCTACACTGTAGTGAATCAACGTGGGTCAAGTGGTGAAGCTGCGTGGGTGGCGCGCCGAGACAGATTTCTTCCAGGAACAGTGCTACTGTTGGCCTAACAGTTCACTTGATTACACTTGCAAACGCTCTCAGGCAAACTTTGAGTATGTATGATATCGGCCGGTTTGAGCGAGCAACTGCTCGCGCTGCCACTATTGAAGGTCCCTGATTGGTCACTGCTCAAGCAGCGTGTCCATTTTCTATTAATGAGCGAGCAGATGCTCACGCCTCGTTGGGTAATACGAGCATTACTGGCTTGCGAATGGTGAGTTGCACTAGTAGCAAGACCAACAAAATGAACAAAGCATGAGTTCGATTTCTCACTTTCTGAACAGTCCGGATTGGAAGTGTTCATGCCTCCGGAAACGAGGCACACATGGCGAGTAATATTTCGTTGAAATAGTGAACTTGCAATTTGTTCGCGCCACCACGTTTCGACGCAAGTGATTGGCTCGCTGCTGCTGACAGAGGTAACTGATGGTGTCTGGTTCTTCATCACTCATTTTGAACAGGAATGATCACAACCGTTCTAGAATGGCGCAAAGGTTCATCTCATCAAGACTGTCAGCGCGCAAAGTTTGAATTTTTTCTGCGGCACATCGAGAGTGCGCCAAGTGGCAAAATAAATGGGAGGGAAATGCGAAAACTGTTTGCGCTACGAGAACTGAAATTGGAAACTTAGAAACAAAATAGGTGAAGGGGTAGAATGCATAGGTTCAATATAAAGTTGTTCGTCCTTTTTTGTTTCAATATATAACTTGAGTATAAGTTTTTCCCTGCACCTGCTGCAAGTACGCTGCTATAGCTTATTCTCTTGACAACTCCAAAGGAAGAGACCATAGCTACTGCACCTCAGTTGTTGTTAAAACTCTCTCTCTACAGACTGCTACCCTTGGATAGGGGCTGACCTCGGTTAGGCACCCAAAGACCCTCAGAGGTGACCCCGAGGAGAGAGTTCTAGTGTCAACCAAAGGCTGTTAGTAGCTAGTTTAGTACGTTCTAAGACTAACAACTTAGCCTATGGGGGTGTGTCAAATTATAAATATGCATCTTAGGCTTTAGTGGGGTACACAATATGGGGTACATAACTTGTTAGGGTTTGTATTTGTACCCCCTCACTTCTATTCAACATCATTCGCGTTTCCTACATTCTTATCAGATAAAGGGAACGGCGATGGTGGGCTGAGCAATCAAGATAATCAACTCAGCGTGGAGCGAAACGAATGAGCATGTCTCGTTTGGCATAAATATGTCGACAAAGAATGAAAAGCACATGCACTTACGTACAAGTCTTCAAGCTTCTTAAGGGGAAAGGACCTAAGTAGGGCAGGGGTGAGTGAGATCAGCAGCAGGCCGTGGAAGATAAGAGGTGTTTCTGGTAAGCTTTGCACTAAGGGATGGATGGTCAAGTGAAGGAATAGGACAGAGGGGAGATGGGAGAAAACATCATGAGCAGTTTTAGTTGAACCAGCGAGCACTTGACACACAAACACGATGGCATATGCCAGAGCGGTCCCACAGTTGTCCCATCTAGTAGGGGCATGAGAAGGGAGGGGAACATCAAAAGAGGAGAAGGGATAGGACCAAGGGGAGATAGAAAAAGAACAGCATGAGCATTTTTAGTAGAACCAGCAAGCACTTGACAGTCAAATGCGACGACATATGGTGTCGAAAAGAACGAACAGGAATGATGAACTAACAGTCCAAAACAGTACAAGTACCTAACCCTAGAATTGTGTACCCCGTATAGGCTAACCCACTGTAGCCTACACAAGCATAACATACATAATGTTTGACACACCCCCATAGGCAAAGTGGGGGAGAACTAGGGGTCACAAGACCAGTCAAGGCAGAGCAAGGCAAAACAAGCTCAGGGTGGATCTCAAGGATTCCACACAAATTCTGAGCACAAGCAAGCGGTCACAAGACCAGTTCACATGCAGGTTTATAATAGAGCAAGAGGTACAATGATCACAACCTAGCAGGAGTAAACATGCAGGTATATATATAAAGATCACAGTACAAACAGAGTCAAGAAGTGAGCAAGTGAGGTCCAGTAGGCACAAGACCTAGGAGAGTGCAAAAGCGCTGATGGTCACAAGGCTGAAGCGCCTTGGTGAACACATCAGCAGTGTTGGCCTCAGTGGCCACGTAACGGAGACAAAGCTGACCACGCTGCTGAAGCTCTCGAGCAAGGAAGTACCGCAGAGCGATGTGCTTCGTTCTGTGCTCCAGTCTGTGCTCCTCACACAAGGCAATGGCAGCCTTGTTGTCAACGTACAGCACTGGAGGAGAACAAGGCCGCTCTCCCAAGTCAGTCAGCAGGTAGGTCAGCCAGCGTAGCTCCTGGGCCGCCATGGCTGTGGCGTAGATCTCAGCCTCACAACTGGAGCTGAGAACAGAAGAAGAACGTGTAGAACGCCAAGAAACTGAGCCAGAGCCAAGGCTGAAGGTGTAACCCTAAGACGACCGCTGCGTAGCCTGGTCGTCTGCCCAAGAAGCGTCTGAGTGTCCAGTGAGTACAACACGGTCTCGCCCTCCAAGCACTAGCCCCATGCCCGACGTACTGCACAAGTAGCGCAACACCCTCTTAGCGGCATCCATGTGCTCCTTCCTGTGACGGCCAGGAGCGACATAGCGTGCAAGGATGCTAAGAGGGTATGCAAGGTCAGGTCGAGTGCAGGTCATCAGGTACATGAGGCAGCCAACAAGCTCTGGATACGGGCCACTCGACTCTACGGACTCATCCGAAGGCAGAGCTGAGAGCGAGTGACCGATAGGCAGAGGAGTGGCCTGGGGCGAGGAGTACGTGAAGCCGAAGCGCTGAAGGACCTGCTGCATCATGTGTGACTGAGTCAAGGTGATGGTGCGCCGTGCTCTGTCCCGAGTGATCCGCAAGCCAAGGTAGCTTGTCAGTTCACCCAGGTCTGTGCACGTGTGTCGCTTCTGCAGCTCTGACTTCACGTGGGCGAGTGCGTGAGTGTCAGCAGTGGCAAAGACCAAGTCGTCGACGTACACGAGGATGTAGAACGGCGGCAGCGAGGTGTCAGTGCGTAGAAACAGCGACGGGTCAGCAGTAGAAGGAGCGAACCCAAGTGCCGCGAGTGTCGTCCTCAGTGTGTCGTGCCACTCACGTGGCGCTTGGCGGAGACCGTAGACTGGCCGCTGGAGGCTCCACTGGGTACCAGGAGGGAACGACCCAGTGAAGCCAGGAGGGCGGCGCAGCCAGATCTCCTCGTGAAGACTGCCCTGCAAGAAAGCAGTACTGAAGTCAAGAGAGTGAAGCTCGTAGTCTCGCTGAGCGGCTATGTGCAGCAGCACCCGAAGAGTAGTCATCTTCGGGGTGGGGGAGAAGGTCTGGAAGAAGTCTACTCCCTCGCGCTGACTGAAGCCTCGAGCAACGTAGCGTGCCTTGAAGACAGGCGGAGAACCAGGCGGCCGCTTCACCCTTAAAATCCACATGCCACTAACGATGTTCGCCCCAGGTGGGGGAACTTCGTCGACGTAGGTGCCTGTGGACTTCCAGGATGCCATCTCTGCGTCCATGGCTGTCTGCCACTGAGAGGAGTAGGGACCTGCCACCGCCTCTGCGTAAGAGCGCGGGGTCGGGATGTCTGGTGCATCCGGGTCTCCCTCAGGGGCAACTAGCATGGACACAAGATGGGGCAAAGCAGCAGCAAAGCACTGGAACTCCTCCTGCCTGTCCTCAAGGACGTCCGTGCCTAGAGCACACTCACCCCCGACGGACGGAGGACAGACAGACTCAGACTCAGCAACAAGGCTAGCGGCGAAGTCTAGACGGCACGCGGCAGCAAAGTCAACCAACTCAGCGACCAAAGCAGACGCAGCAGAGGACTCAAAGGTAGGGTCAGTGACAACAGTGGCGAGGAGACGCGTGACTGTGGGACTGGCAGCACGACGGGAGTCAGACTCCGGGTCAGGAAGAGTAGGGAGAGAGGACGCAGGAGGAGACGGCAGAGGGACACGCTGAGGAGCAGTGGAGCGACGCAGTGTCATGTAGTGAGTGCCAGGGACAGGAGGAGGACGCTCACGTGTGCCACGACGACTAGTGCGCGCAGGACGAACAGGCGACGCAGGACGAGACGCAGGCTCACGACGCTCGGTAAGACCTCCTGTGGGACCAGTGTAGGGAGAGGGACCAGGGAGAGGCGGGGTAGGCAGTAACTGTGACTGCGACTGGACAGGCTGCAGACACTCTACGGAGGGAGGAGGACAAGGAGGAGGAGCCAGACCAAGAACCTGCTGAAGGAGCGGGACGAAGTACGGTCGCGGCCTCGTAGCGTCTCCAGAGCCAGCAGGGACACCAGCACCGGGGACCTCAGCACCAGCAGTAGCTCCACCTCCCGGGGCCCCAGCACCAGCAGCAGCTCCACCGTCCGGGTCCTCAGCACCAGCAGCAGCTCCACCGTCTGGGTCCTCAGCACCAGCAGCAGCTCCACCGTCCGGGTCCTCAGCACCAGCAGCAGCTCCACCGTCCGGGTCCTCAGCACCAGCAGCAGCTCCACCGTCCGGGTCCTCAGCACCAGCAGCAGCCCCAACGTCCGGGTCCTCAGTACCAGCAGCAGCTCCACCGTCCGGGTCCGCAGCACCAGCAGCAGCTCCACCGGCCGGGTCCGCAGCACCAGCAGCAGCTCCACCGTCCGGGTCCCCAGCACCAGCAGCAGCTCCACCGTCCGAGTCCTCAGCACCAGCAGCAGCTCCACCGTCCGGGTCCGCGGCACCAGGGGCTCCACTCCGAAGACTGCAGCGCCGCGTGTACCACTCTCGGATCTGCTGAAGGGAGGGGAGCTCCCGGGGAGGTGGGGAAGCACGGGTACCGGCGCCAGGAGCACCCCTCCGGAGGCTGCAGTACCGGAGGTACCTCTCCTGCAGCTGCTGGGAGGAGAGGGCTCCTCCAGGTGTAGCACGCTCAGGCTCAGCACCACCAGACTCAACACCACCAGACTCAGCACTCCCAGGCTCCGCACCCCCAGGCCCAGCATCCCCAGTCGCAGCACCTCCAGGCTCAGCACCCCCAGGCTCAGCACCCCCAGTTTTAGCACCTCCAGGCTCAGCACCCCCAGTCTCAGCACCCCCAGGCTCAGCACCCCCAGTCTCAGCACCCCCAGGCTCAGTACCCCGAGGAGGACGCGACTCGACGGCTACCTCGACAGGCTCAACGGGGTCTACCTGAGACACACCTGAGGGAGCGGCACCCTGAGGGGGGAGGGGCTCTACAACAGCAGCACCTGGCGCGAGGAAGAGAGGCGGAGGGGGGAGTGGGGCAGTGCGGTAGGGGAAGAGACGGTAGAAGGGGACCGACTCGTCGAACGTGACGTCCTGAGAGGGGAAGACACGGCGCGAGACAGGGTGGTAAAACTGCCAGCCAGACGCGTCAGGGACAAAGCCAAGGAAGACACAGGGGACAGCTCGACGAGAGAGCTTGTCCGCGGACGTGTCGCGGACAAAGGCACGAGATCCCCAGACGCGGAACACCGACGCATCGCCAACCTCTCCCGTCCAACGCAGTGTCGGCGAGGTCTCCGGAGCGGAGACACGGGGCCAGAGGTTGAGCTGATGCGCGGCGTACCGGACAGCAAACGGCCACAGAAAATGGGGGGCAGCCGCATGGACCAAGGAGGTACGAGCGACCTCCATGACCAGGCCAATGCGGCGCTCAGTAACCCCATTCTGCTGCGGAGAGGCCGGAAGTGTGAACGTCTGCTCAATGCCCTCCTCCTGACAGAAGGCGCTCAAGAGGTCGGAGGAAAACTCACCGCCCCTATCAGAGTGCAGTCGCAGGACCGGAAGGTCCGAGCGAAAGCGCCGCTCCAGCTGGAGACGAGTAGCGCGGATCCAAGGGATCAAGACATCAGGGACCTCACCCTTGGTGCGCAAGGGGAAGACCGTGGTGTAGCGCGTGTAGTCGTCAACTACCAGCAGAAAGTAGCGCTCCCCGCCCTGTCCACGGACGCGGGCGGGGCCCCACACGTCCAGGTGGAGTGTCTGCAGAGGAGCCTCCGTCGGGGGAAACGAGGAAGAGTGAGGAGCGGCGCGCTGCCGCCCCTCGACACAGGGAATACAGGGAGGAGCCGGCGAGGGTGGGAGGGGAGGGAGAACCCTGGGAAGACCAGAGACAAGGTACCGTTTGTGCATGGTCCGAAGGCGCTGCACGGACGGGTGGCCAAGTCGGTGGTGCCAGAGGACGGTGTCGTGCGCGAGAGACCGACACGAGCAGGGGGCGGACAGCTGACCTGACGCAGACGCAGACGCAGCCACCTGAGGGGACTCAGTGGTCAGTGTGTACAGGTCCGACCCTGGCTCCCGAGTGAAGGTAGCCAGGTGACGACCCGTCCGAGCACACGTGCAGTGTGTCACACGCTCGTAGGCAGGGGTGAACTGGTGAACACCCCCGTCCTGGAGCGCGCTACCTGCGACCAAGTTCGTAGAGAACGAGGGGAGGTAGAGCCCTGACAGTGTGCCGGACGGGACCGCCGGACAAGGAAGGACAGTGGAGGAGGTCGCAATGACCGGACCCCCAGAGGGGTCAGCAAGGGAGACAGCAACTGGCCGAGCAAGTGGCTCAAGGACAGTGCGGTCACGAAAGAAACAGCGTGAAGCACCTGAGTCCAGGGTGAAGGTGTGCAGTGCCTCAGTCGACTCAGTACCAGGGGGGACAGACGCACGAGCACCTAGAGCGACAGCCTCACCATCACCTGAGGGAGCAGACACGCAAGTACCTGCAGCGGCAGTCTCACTAGCACCTGGAGCGGCAGTCTCACTGGGCAGAATGCCCGGGTCGGGCGGAACACACAAGTACTGAGCACCCTCTCCACTAGTAAACATGGCATACATGGCAGTGAGAATAGCATCAAAGTCTAGAGCCCAGATATCAACCCCCTTCCTCTCCAGATCAGCCCAGCGGGGCAGCTCAGCGCCATCAGGGAACTGGGTGCGCCAAGCGTCGGTAAGGCGCGCGAAACAGCGCTGCGTGGGGTGCGGCCTCCCACACTGCTGGCCAGTGCGGTCACCAGTGCGGATGACATACGTGCAGCTAAGACGCTGGGCATACCACTCACGGGCCTCCTGGAGCGACGGAGTGTGCTGCTGGCTCAGACCACCGCCAGCGCCTCCACGGCCACCACCACTGCCGCCACCTCCGCGACCACCGCCTCCCCTGCCGCTGCCACGACCACCTCCGCCCCCACCGCCGCCCCCGCCCCTGCCACCGCCCCCGCCGCTGCCGTCACCACCCCCACTGCCGCCACTAGCCTCTCCAGCCCCTCCTCCACCCCCACCGCCTCCACCCCCACCGCCCCCGCCGCCACCTCCACCCTTGCCCCCTCTCGTCCTGCGGCGCCCGCTCGAAGCAGACGCGGTCCCGACCTTCTCAGCACCAAGAAGGTCGACAGCAGAAGCAGAGGCGACAGAGGGAAGGAGGGGGGAAGGGGAACACCCCTCAAAGAAAGGAGTGCGGGGGTCACCACGAGAGGCACCTACAGCGACGACACTCGCCTCGGCTGCAAGTAGCTCCTTCTCGAGGAGGGCAATGGTGAGCTCAGTGGGGCAGCGAGCTAGAAACTGGTCCCTGACTGCGCGCAGAGAGTCAGGGAGGCGGGTGACTAGGTGGTAGAGAACGAGCCAGAGCGGGGGGGGGTTGTTAGCTAGGAACTCGGCAGGCATAGCAGCGCGGAAGCGGGCCTCACTAGTCTTGAGGTGGGTGATGAGGTCAGCAACGGTGTGGAAGGAGGCCAGGTCGGGGAACAGGTAGGGGAGGGAGAGGCGGCCTAGTGCGGCAGAAGCAGGCGAGGAGTAACGAGCAACTACAGCAGTGTACAGGTCCTTAGCAGTCTTGTGCTGGCCAAAGTGCTCGCGCTCATCTAGCGGCAGGGAGTTGCGAATGGCAAAGCGAGCGTGAGCGTCACGAGTCTGCCACTGTGAGCGCTGAGTGCTGTCAGCAGTAGTAGGAGGTGCAGTAGCGTGGCCTAGGGCGTGATCGTACAGTGAAATATCTTCCTTGGCAGTGAGCTGTAGGAAAAGGTGCAGGTCATCGAGCCAGGTGTCAAACTTCACTGGGCGGCCCTCAGCATCAAAAGCGAGTACAGGAGGAGTAGCCATAGCAGCAGTAGCAGTGGCAGTAGCAGCAGTAGGAGTAGCAGTAGCAGTAGTGTAGTGCAGGTAGGACAGCGCGGCTCGGCTAGGGCGGCGCGGCTCGGTTCGGGGCGCGCGGCTCGGCTCGGTCTGGGCGGCTCGGTTCGGGTCGCGCGGCTCGGCTTAGATCGGGCGGCTGTAGCGGTCGCGGGCCGTTGGGGCCTTTAGGGGCGAGCGCGGGGCCGTACGGGGCCTCTAGGGGCTAGCGCGGGGCCGTGCGGGGCCGTAAGGGGCGAGCGCGGGGCCGATCGGGGCCGCTAGGGGCTAGCGCGGGGCCGTTCGGGGCCTCTAGGGGCGAGCGCGGGGCTGTACGGGGCCGTAAGGGATGGGCGCGGGGCCGTTCGGGGCCGTAAGGGGCGGGCGCGGGGCCGTTCGGGGCCGTAAGGGGCTAGCGCGGGGCCGGTCGGGGCCTCTAGGGGCGAGCGCGGGGCCGTACGGTGCCGTAAGGGGCGGGCGGGGGGCCGTTCAGAGCTGTAAGGGGCGGGCGCGGGGCCGTTCGGGGCCGTAAGGGGCGAGCGCGGGGCCGATCGGGGCCGCTAGGAGCGAGCGCGGGGCCGTTCGGGGCCGTAAGGGGCGGCGCGCGGGTCACTAGGGGGCGGATCGCGGGTTTGCAGATGCAGATGCAGATGCAGATGCAGCAGCAGTGCCAGCAGCATTAGCAGTAGCAGCCATTCGCGATTTTCTCTGCAGCGCAGCAGTCAGGGAGCTTGAGAGGCGGGGGGGAGGAGCAGAAGAGGAGCCTTAGGGGGCCGTGAAAAACGAGGCGCCCTAGGGCGCAGGTAGGTAGGTAGGTAGGTAGGTAGTGGTGGGCCCTAAAAAAAAAACGGTCCTAGCGAAGGACCTGCTCTGAAACCATGTCGGAAAGAACGAACAGGAATGATGAACTAACAGTCCAAAACAGTACAAGTACCTAACCCTAGAATTGTGTACCCCGTATAGGCTAACCCACTGTAGCCTACACAAGCATAACATATATAATGTTTGACATATGGCAGGCTTGTGCCACAGTTGTTCCACATGGTAGGGGCATGAGAATGGAGGGAAATAATGAGAGAGGCAAAATTGTATGTGTGTGTGTGAGAGAGAGATAGAGAGAGAGAGAAGAGAGAGAGAGAGAGAGAGAGAGAGAGAGAGAGAGAGAGAGAGAGAGAGAGAGAGAGAGAACGATGCTGCCTTTGTGCTTTGGCGCTAGCGCCAACGACGCACCTCTTATTGCATATGCAATAGCAGAGCGTTTCATGCTTATTCATTTTGAGCAAATGACAACGATATAACGAAATCGTGAGTGTTCGGATAAAACATCATATCCGAACTAAATGAGTATAGTGTTGTCAGGACACCACGCAGACTCGCAACCGTGCCCAAACGAAATGAATTTCCAAGACACAATTGATACGCGACATTGGTAAAATTTATGTAACCTTATGCTGAGCGACAACCTTTTCTACTTGCTAAACCGGCAAACATGCAAACCACTGGTACATTTGTGAACGAGAACTTTGCAACATACATTGCAAATCTTCCAAAATTAGTACAGCATACAAACGTGATGTCGTATAATCGTGTGCGCTTATGTAGGAAAAGCAAACGCCCTAGCCTTTCCATTCTCAGAAGTATACGCAGTTATGTATATATATAAAAAAACACAATAGGCGACACAATCGTTTTAGGGTTGTGAAACATTTACAAAAGTTATTTAATTTGTTAACCACTGATAGATAAACGCTAGCTTTTTTGTTTATAGTAAAAACGTATCCAAAGTTCAAAGTTCAGTCACAATATTCCACAACTTCTTGATAAAATCGTCATTTTCTACCATCTGCACCGAAGATCCCGAGACAGGGAAGCGTGGCATTTTTTAGGACATTTTACTTCGCGAAAGAATTCTCACTACCTTAGGGTTCCAATCGTTCTTTTTGTTCCCTTTCTCTTGTTGATGGAGTTTGCTTGATACCCTCCCACTATTCAAGCTCTACCTACCACTCCAAGGTGAGGAAGATCAAAGCTATTAACAAGAACTAACTAGATGATTATTCGCTAGACTAAGTTTCATCATCTCTTCGGTTTACGTCAACGATAGGGTGGTTAGGTTTCCAGATTTCATTTTTCTTTCCGTTGAATCTCTCTCCTTTCTTCACGCTACATCTACTAAAATTTCCGCTACTCCTCGTAATCCAGGTGCTCAAATCTAGTCTACTTGTCTATGCACTGGTAGATCTACAACTAGTTTATTTCTATCTTTCATTTCTCCCGTTCGTGATCTTCCTTCCTTCATTCTTTAATACATTTTCTAACTTTATGTTTTTGTTATATTGCCTTTGTTTCTGCTACCTCTGTTTTGTCACCTATTCAGGATTCTGTCTGTTTTTTTCCTTTCCTTCTATCTCCATCTGCTATTCTTATCTCTCTTTTCCCCGTTTCCCTCCGCCCGTGTCTCTCTTTCGTTTCCCCTCTTTTATCCTCTCACTGTCGTTGTTCTGTTGGTGCTTGGCACGCAGGCAACTTTTTGCTCGTGCCAGACGCACTAAGGGAGCGGCGACACCACCACGCTCTCCATCTCCAGGCTTGCTATTCACGGCTGCTGCATCAACGAAGTCGGCAGAATTTGGTGAGAGTAGAGCGTGGGAAAGAAATAGAATTAGAGAGGGAGTGAAGGAGAGAGTGGGGAAGAGAGTGGAGGAGATAATGAGTGTGGAAAGAGATAACAGGAGAATTTTGTACTAATATTTGCTTGCCCCTTCTCTTTCTCATTTTTTTATAAATGTTTTTTAGCCTCACCTTCATAACTCTTTAGCTGTCCATTCCTCTCTCTCTCTCTCTCTCTCTCTCTCTCTCTCTCTCTCTCTCTCTCTCTCTCTCTCTCTCTCTCTCTTTGTTTTTTTCGTAAGAGAGAGCAATGTAAATTAAGAGAGCATTTCATTTCCTAATTCCTTCTTTCATCATTTATCCAATCATGCATTCAACTATGCACTATCTAGGCGTAGCTAGGTCAGTTCGTAGCTAAGCACATTTTATTGATTAATTTTCCTTTTCTTTTGCATTTCATCTGTTTTTCTTACCCTTTCCTCTTTCCACCTCCATCTTAACGTTAGTCTTATTCGTTAGCCACTAGCCTCTCTTGCGCCTCGTTCCTTTCCACTATTCGTTTCTCTTGTAACAAATTTGTTTTCTTCCATGGTTATCTTTTCTTTGTTAGCCTGCACTTGTTCCTTTTTTTTTTTTTTTTTTTTTTTTGCGCATGCTAAAAATCTATCTCCCGACCTTTCGAAAACTCTCTTTGTCTCGCTCCCTTTGTGTCACTCTCTCTTTGTCTTGCTCTCTCCTTGTCTCGCTCTTTTGCTCTCTCTCTCTCTCTCTCTCTCTCTCTCTCTCTCTCTCTCTCTCTCTCTCTCTCTCTCTCTCTCTAATGGTCCATGTATTGATTAGGAGAAAGGTACAAACATGCGAAGTAAGGTTTCTAACATAGAAATAGCAAGCAAACACACACCTAACTACACATAGCACATGTCTTTAATCCATGAGAGGCTCTAGCACAGTACAGTAGTCCCCAAGGTGGAGTTCGGACTGCACCCCCCCCACTAGGGGGTTCTCGGCCACAGCTGCCTGGCAAGACTTGATGAGGTACCCCACGGACTGTGCTCTCTGGAGAGCCACGGACCATCGGTGCCTGAAGAGATGGAGGAACCGAGCTGCATGATATGAGGTTGGTTGGGCGTTGAAGTGGCGCCTAGCAGCTGTATCCGCCAACAACATCAGAAACTGTGGGACCTCGGCGCAAGGGCAGCCGTACGTCTCAACTGCCAGCGGAAAGAAATCGACCGTGTCGGGCCGGTTAGCGTTGTGGCTTATCTTCTTGTCCGCTGCCTCCCTTGCTGCCCACCCCCTCCCTTTGGTAGCCTTGGGGTCCCTAGTGCTAATGGGGTCTGTGATCGTCCCGTCGCAGACATAGACCGCCCCTGTGCTCCTGCAACGCATGGTGAAGTCAGCGGTCTGTTCTTCTATGGGGCAGTATGCCGCTGATTCCCTGTAAACTATAAAGCCCGCGTCTTGTGCCATCGTGATGCAGGCGTCCCGCAGTTCGTTGTGTGTGTTGGTCCTGTGCTTTCCTGTACCGCAGCGGAACAGGTGGTTAGGAAGTCGTGGGTCTTTGATCTCCGGGTGTTTAGAGCAGTCACAATTTTTCGGTGTTGGGAAGGGAAGACCGAGCCTGAAGCGGCAAGCATTGGCGAAGTGCTCTGACCCGACGCGTCGGGTTGGTTCTATTGGCATTGCTGTCAGCCAGTCCCCTGTACCGTAGCCCGTCAGCGAGAAATACCGCTGTGTATGGCCTGACAGTGGGTTTAGCCTCATGTGCCGTGTTGCCTGCACTTGGGAGGCGTATCTGCTGCCCTGCACCCTCACTCCAAGCTCGTGCTGCAGCTGCAGCCCCGATGGCTCAAGCCGTTCTTTCTCCAGGATGTCTCTGGCTTCCTGTGGCAGGGACAACTCACACTCGGCCAGCCAACGGTGCAGGTCGGTAGATATGTCTCCCGGCAGCAGCATGTGGTCCCTAACCGCCGTCAGGGCCGCCTCTGGTTCTAGCGGAAGGGAACTAAGGAGGAGTGATGCCTGTGTAAAGCTGGCTAGGAAGCCAAATGCGCCCTCCACCGTGGGGTCCGTGAGTCCTATGCCCCCTAATGATGGTGGGAGCGATGACTGCTCCCAGACCCGCTGTTGTTCTGTGCTGTCTGCTGGGAACCGGATGCCACACGCCATTAGGAGGGTGGACAGTAGGTCTCTACCCTACTGTGACCATGTACTGTCGTCCAGAAGGTGCAGGGGTGTTGTGCGCGTGAGATAGGCTACTCGTCGTGAGATACAGCGGGTGAGCAGAAGGCATGCTAGCTGTGGGTCCATCCATTCTATCAGGGGCAGCGGCTTGGACATGGCTCTTAACTGTGCGGTGAGGAAGGAGGATGCGCCGTCTA